TGTGGGTGCAGGGTCCCAAGGCTTTGGGCCGTCCTCAACTGCTTTCCCAGGCCACAGGCAGGGAGCTGGATGGGAAGCAGGGCAGCCAGGACATGAACCAGTGCCCATATGAGATTCCGGTGTGTGCAAGGCGAGGACCTTAACCACTAGGCTATCGCACCGGGCCCTAATTTTATTTTTTTTTTTAAACTAAAGTTTGTAGCAACCCTGCATCAAGCAAATCACCATTTTTCCAACGTTTCAGATTATCACTAGCATTTTTGGTCGTATTTTAAATTTAAAGTATGTATACATTTTAAGGGAGGTAGTGGTGTGGCTCACCTGCTGAGCTACAGTACGGTGTGAACAGTGGTTACCTACACTGGGAGCCGAATGAGTCATGTGATCTGCTTTATGGCAACAATCCCTTTATCGCAGCAGGCTGGAACCAGACCCACAATACTGCCACAGTATGCTTGCGCATGTGTGTATGCCGTCTTTTAAGATACTTGGTTATTAATTTCAGTACTAGAAAGACTGCAAGGAGACACACTTGTAGAATGTGAAGCGTAACTTCTAAGAATAAGAGGAAGGGACCAGAGAGTGGCTGGCAAAGCTAGCGGGAACAGCGGCTCTTGGCATTGCCCCCTACTCAGAAAATTGGTAGGCCTGAGAGGGGCGTGGGTTGTGTGTGCATGCCTGCCTGCCTGCCTGCCTGCCTGCCAGCCTTCAGCTGTGGGCAAGGTGACCCTGACAGGCAGGCCTCCCGTGGCCACCGCTGCGTGCACCCTTCCAGCTCAAGCCTCGTGCTGCTCACCTATTGTTTCCAGGAAAAGACTACGAACAAACAGCCTCCAATCCAAATCCCCTAGTTAGTGCTGGCCTTGCTTCCCAGAGCCAGGACTCTGCCGTGCTCCGGCTCAGCCATCACTTCCTGTGCTAGCACTGGCTGCTGTGCGACTGCGAAGTACCCTGAGGACAGAGGTTTATTGGGAGGTGTCTCACAGCCCTCAAACGCTGGCCTGAACCCCCTGTGTCCCCAGGCGCTCCCCTCCACCTACTCACACTAGAACTGTGGGTGGGGCTGGCCGAGCAGAGATGGGGAGTTGGCTTGCAGCTCGCAGGCGAAGGTAAGCGTAGCTAGTCACTGGGTCACTGGGCTGGCCTTCCTGTGCTGGCAGGAGCCCCAGCGACTCGTGACCACCACGCCACTTCACTCACCTGTCGAGTTCCGCTGTGGTCTGAAAGGCAGAGCCGGCTCTGGCCAGTCCTCGGCCAGCCAATGGTGCAGACAGTGGAAGCTGACTCACCTAGCCTGTGGCTCTAACTCTCTCTGGCCACCCAAGTAAGCCCGAGGAATCACGTGGACCCCCCCGTGTGTGGCCGCCTGTCTTTCCCTGCCCTCGGCTTCCTTGACACAGCAGAAGCTTTGTGGCTTAGTCGATCGCTCTAACGTCCCAGCCTGCTCAGGACATGGGCCTGTACATGGCTCAGGGGCTCCTAGGACCAGTGTTAGAGGGTGGGGCAAGGGCAGCACCCAGGAGCATTTGAGCCAAAGAGCAGGGTGGTCAGCCAGGCCTAGGGCCGAATGGACACTCCTAGTTGAGTGCTAAGGGTAGAGGAGAGTGGGGCCATGGGAGATCCTGCCTCGTTCAGGACGTTAAACTGGAAGGTTAGTGCTACAGGATAACCTGGTCAGCATCTGTGAGCAGTTGGGAAACAAGGATCTGGTCCACCTTACTACCTGTCTAGTTGTGTAGTTAGGTTAGTTCCTTATCCTGAGAGCTACCCTGTGGCAGGCACTCTGCCAAGTACAGAAGCTTATTGCAGTGTCCACAGGCAGGGCCTCATTGCACTGTCACAACCACTGCCGCAAGAAAGGCAGGGCCCAGCACAGTGGCCTAGCGGCTAAAGTCCTCGCCTTGCTCGCACCGGGATCCCATATGGGCACTGGTTTGTGTCCCGGCTGCTCTGCTTCCCATCCAGCTCCCTGCCTGTGGCCTGGGAAAGCAGTCAAGGACGGCCCAAAGCCTTGGGACCCTGCACCTGCGTGGGAGACCCAAAGGAGTCTCCTGGCTCCCGGCTTTGGATCAACACAGCTCTGGCCATTGTGGCCGCTTGGGGAGTAAATCAGTGGACGGAAGAACTTCCTCCCTGTCTCTCCTCCTTTCTGCATATATGACTTTCCAATAAAGATAAATAAATCTTTTTAAAAGTAGTCTGGAACAGCCATTTGACTGGCAGTTAAGATGCCTGCACCGACAGTATTGTTGTGCATCTGGAAGCCAGCTACTCTGCTTCTACTCAGCTTTCTTTTTTTTTTTTTTTTTAAAGATTTATTTAGTTAGTTTATTGGAAAGGCAGATATACAGAGAGGAGGAGAGACAGAGAGGAAGATCTTCCATTCAATGGTTCACTTCCCAAGCAGCTGCAACAGCTGGAGCTGAGCCAATCTGAAGCCAGGAGCCAGGAGCTCTTCCGGGTCTCCCACGTGGGTGCAGGGTCCCAAGGCTTTGGGCCATTCTCAACTGCTTTCCCAGGCCGCAAGCAGGGAGCTGGATGGGAAGTGGGGCCGCTGGGGTTAGAACCAGTGCCCATATGGGATTCTGGGTACGTGCAAGGTGAGGACCTTAACCACTAGGCTATTGTGCCGGGCCCCCAACTCAGCTTTCTGTCAGTACACCAGGAATGCTCAGACAGCATTCCAGTCCTTGAGTTCCTACTGTTTGCATCGGAGACCTGGATGGAATCCCTGGCTTGGCTTGGCCTGGCCTCACCGTGACTGTCATGGGCGTCTGATCTGGAAGCCAGCAGATGAACAGTCTTTCTGTGTCTGTGCTAAAGATCTAGTTATTTATTTTTATTTGACACATTTACAGAGAGACAAAGAGATCTTACATTCACTGGTTCACTGCCCAAATGGCTGCAACAGCCAGAGCTGGACCAGTGCAGCTTCTTCCAGGTCTCCCACGTGGATGCAGAGGCCCGAGGTCTTAGGCCGTCCTCCACTGCTTTTTCATGCCATAAGCAGGGAGCTAGATCAGAAGTGGAGCAGCTAGGACTTAAACTGGCACCCATAAAATATACCAGTATTGTAAATGGAGGATTAACCTGTTATGCCATAGCACTGGCCCCTGTGGTGCCATATTTTAAATGGTTTGTTTATTTGAAGGAGTTACAGAGAGGGAGGTAGGGATAGAGAGCTTCCATCCACTGATTACTCCCCAAATGACCACATCGACCTGGGGCTGGGCCCGGTCAAAGACAGGCACCCAAGGTGGATGCAGGGGCCCACGCACTTGGACCATCTTTTTCTGCTCCCCGGGCACATTAGCAGGGAGCCAGATCTGAAGTGAAGCAGCCAGGACTTGAACTTGCACTCATGGGAAGCTGGTGTTGCAGATCTCAACCTAACTTGCTGTACCATGTGAGCCCTTAGGGCCGTTTTTTGAAAAGACAATTCTTTCCCTTCGCTAACCAGTCTCGGCACGCGCTGGCAGTCGGTTGCCCACGAATCCGTGGGTTTATTCCCGGACTCAGTTCTCGTCCATTGATTTCTGTGTCTCTGTGTGTGAGTACCACTCTGTCTTCACTACTGTGGCTTTGTAGTAAGTTTTAACGTTGAGAAGTGTGAGTCCTCCAACGTTGTACGCCGTTCTTAAAGATGTTTCACCTCTGGTCTCCTGTATTTCCTACTACTGTTCGGATTTTACTGTCAATTTCTGCAAAATCTACCCAGCAAGGTTACTAATGGGGGTTACATTGAATCGGTAGGTGAGTTTGCTGGGGATCGTCATCTTAACAGTGTCAGGCATTTTGGTCCATGTACATAGAATATTCTTTCCTTTAATTATCTCATCTCTAATTTCTTTTATGATATTGAGTTGTTTAACAGTGTGTCTTACATTTAATTTGTTAAAATTATGCCTAAATGTTATTTGTGGTGATATTGTAGATGGACGCCTTGTACAATGCTGGAATGGTCGTTGCTGCTGTGTAGAAGCGCAGGGCGGTTTTGGGGGTTTTGCAGCTTTCCGGCCTTGTGTGACCTCACTGAGTTTGTTAATACTCACGGCTCCAAGTGGATTGTTCGGGATTTTCTGCATACAGGTCATGTTATCTACGAATAATTTTCCTTTCCTTTCTCTTTCTTGTCTATCTGTCCCCAAAGAGCCTCCATTTCCAAAGCAAATCAAGTGGGAGAAGTGAGCACAGGTGCTCTGGTCTTGCCCCTGGGCCGAGGGGAACAGGTGCAGCCCTCCGGAGCGTTTCTAAGCATCCTGGTTCCCTCTCAGCTTCCTCCCGCTGTTGCTCCTTCGGCCGGAGAAGAGCAGGTCCATTCGAAAGGGCTTCTTTCCAATTCTTCAGTAGCAGAGTTTATGGTTCCACTTGGCTTCTCTGTTCTCAGCCATTTCCCTTGGCCGTTGGTGAGGTCGTGGTACAGGCTCTGTCAGGACACGGGAAATATTTGCAAGTTCTTCTTCAGTACCCGCTTTGACTGCCCATGAATTCCACAGTCCTGAATAACCTAACCAAGGTGGAAGTTGCAAAAATCGAAACACATAGGCCCAGCGTGATGGCTCGGTAGCTAAATTCTTACCTTGCATGCCAGAATCCCATACGGATGCTGGTTCATGTCCTGGCTCCTCCACTTCCCATCCAGCTCCCTGCTTGTGACCTGGAAAAGCAGCGGGGGATGGCCCAGGTCCTTAGGACCCTGTACCCATATGGGAGACTGGAAAGGAGTCTCCTGGCTCCTGGCTTCGGGTTGGCTCAGGTCTAGCCATTGCATCCACTTAGGGAGTGAACCACTGAATGGAAGATCTTTCTGTCTCTCCTCTCTTTATATCTGACCTTGCAATAAAAATAAGTAAATCTTTTTTAAAAATTGAAACATAAGCAGAGGTGTGACTGGATCCTTATTTTCTTTCCTTTTGTCAGGGAAGGGACTGTCCTGGGGCCCACGGGCCTCGCGTCCTCCCGGCATGCCCTCTAACTGTCAGCACCCTCTGTGTTTGCAGACTCTCAGCGTTCGCACCTCTCTTCCTTCACAATGAAGCTCAAGGACAAATTCCACTCGCCCAAAATCAAGAGGACCCCGTCGAAGAAGGGGAAGCCGGCCGAGGTGTCTGTGAAGGCTGTGGAGAAGCCTGTGGACAAAGTAAGCTGGCTCCCCAGGCGCTCCTCCCGGCCTCACCTGCTCGCAGCAGGACGAGCTGGGGCTGCGTCTGAGCGCATGGTCGCAGGCGGGGCGTGCGGTGAGAGCAGGTCGGCTGGGGCATGCCTCGTGTGTTCGCCAGGGTCAGGCTCAGTGGGCCAGCGCAGTTCTCCTGTTCCACCTCTGGGCACGTAAGACTCCTCCCTCATCAGCACATGTGATCAGCCGGAAGCTGCCTCCCGCCCCAGAGGTCCCCATTTGCCCTGGCCCACATGCACAGAGAAGTGTGTGACTTCCAGATGTCCATCATTCGGCCGTAGGACCCGTGGGGTGAGATGTGCAAACCCCTGCAGAGCCCACCAACACTCCCTCCAGCACTAGTGACCTCCGTAGGGCCAGGCCACCGCATCTGTTGGGACAGCTGTTGGTTTCCGTCCATCCCTCCCCTCAGCCTAAAATGGCCATTTGAAGCTCTGTAGGAATCCAGGTTTCCTCTCTTCCAGGAGGCAACAGACAGATTTCTACCAGAGGGCTGCCCTCTCCCCTTGGATCTGGAGCAGCAGGCAGTAGAATTTATGTCCACCAGTGCTGTGGCTTCCAGGTCTCAAAGGCAGAAGGTCAGTGCGACATGAAGAACAATTGGGTTTGCCTTGCCTTCTACTGCAGAATCCTGGGCCATGGTTTTGGGGATGGAAAAAAGCTGTTGCAATATCACTCTGTCCAGCTGGGTGGTGACTGGGGCACCATCAGGCAGGCAGCAGACCAAGGGGCCTTGCGTCACAGGGAGAGTTTATCCCAGCACCGTGGTGTCCCGGGCGGACGACTGGGCCCCTTTCTGGGTGATCCAGTGGGTCCCCCCAGCAGCAGCTGTCCTGCCCTTGAACTGCTCCGCTGCTTTGAGTACGATAGACACCAGCGGCCACTGTGGTGTCCCTTAGTGCGACAGCCAGCTCGTGACTCCCTCTGTGGCCAGCGCTGAGCAAGCTGCTTCCTGGCTCCCTGCTTGGTGCTTTCGTTGCGTGTTCTCTCACTTCATCTTTCCAGCACTGCTGACAGGTGCAAATGTTTCTGGAAAGGACCCTGCCAGTCTATAGAGGTGACCTGAGCATGTCGCCAGCGTCACGTGAGCAAGATTGACGGCAGTCTGCCTGACACCAAGGTGTCCTAACAGGTCTCACAATGCTGTTTCTTCTTTTCCCTGTCCTAGAAATCTAAGTATCAGTCACAGCACATCACTTCCCGTAAGGTCAGGTAAGAGCAGAGGGAAGTGCCCAGTCTGCCACGCCCATCTACATTCTAGGTCGGAGATGAGAAATTAGAGAAGATTTGATCTCTGCCAGTCGTGGAGGTCGCTTAGTAAATAGCTGGCAGGACCACACTGTGCGTGTATCCTCCCACTGGGTCGGCTAGGCGAGCACGAGGGGCGCCTGAGACTCCCTGGAGTTCAGTGCTAGCTCTGCTACAAGTGCCCAGCCGCCCGGTTTGAGGGTTTTTCCACCTCCTTATTCACTGTTCCGAGAGAAGGCGTGGAAGAAAATGCAGGCACTTTCTGGGGTGCCTGCAGGTGCCGGGGAGCATTCGACAAATGTGTGGAGACACTGCTGGTTATCACAGCAGAGCAGGCTCAAGCAGGTGCCGTGGTGGGCATCCTAAGACACCTGCTCCATGCCAAGGAGCCTGGCTGTCATCTTCCCTGACCCCAAAGACTGTGAGGCCCTGTTGTGGCCATTGCACTTGCCAAGGTTGAATTATTCTGCTGGAGGCCGAGCATGGGTGGCCGTGTCAGCATGCCTGTTCCTCTGCCGGTGAGGCAGATGCAGAGCCTCGCAGCGAGCCTGTCATTGGCCCCTGTCGCCCTGTGCCTGCCGGGAGAGCATTTGCATCCATGTTCTCAGTTTGCGGCAGCTTTTGTTTGTGGAGTCCATGGGAGACTGAAGCGCGAGGAGAGGGGCACAGGGCCGGGCTACCCCTCGCAGGCCTTGTCCTGGCGGCTTCCCCTCTGCTGTCGCACGTCCTCTCCGTTGTGCAGGGAAGCGCTGCTCCCCGACTCTACAGATCCCAGGTTTCCTCTGCGTTGGGCTCCGCTCAGGCGCTTTAGCGGTCTCTCACGTCTTTCTAGGTAATATCTAAAGTCTCAGTGAGTTTGGAATGTACTGATAATTTTGGTCTGCAGCTCTTTAAGAAGCAGTAGAGGACGATCAGACCCCTCCCAGGATGACAGTCCCACTGCGACGACCCTGTGTGCCCTCCAGGAAGGGCCCCGAGGGCCTGGCCCCTCCGAGTGGGTTCTGAAAGGCTTTCCCTTTCGGGGTTGAAGTGGGTGCAGAGCGAGGCCCTGCCCGAGAGCTGGCTGTGGGCGGTGCCGTGGGGCGCTGACGCTGCCTGCCCTCTGCTGGGCTCGGCTCCTGATGGGGCCTCCGTGGCGGACCCTCAAGAAAGGGACAGTGACAGATTTTCTAAACCTAATGTCCAGGTTACAGTTTTTAATTTATTGATGCGCTGACACCCAGGCTGTACACCAGAAGCTCCCTGGTGTGGGAAGGAGACTGGAGTTAAAGAGGAAAGAGCAGGGTTATGGAGCAGGCAAGGCCACAGGTTGGGCAGCTGGAGCGTCAAAGCCCCAGGGCAGGTCAGTGCCAGGTTACGGTTGGCACTGTCCCTGTGGCTGTGTTTTGCAAGAAGCAGCAACTTAACCGTGGAAGGACCAGGCTCTTCAATGACTGATGTGATCTTTCCCATTCTTCACCCTGACACGCCTCGCCCCTTTCGAAGGCTTCCTAGTCCTTTTTCTCTTAGAAACCTGCGGATATATTTTCTTGACATGTCTGTCTGCTCTGCAAGTTTCGTCATTGCTGTCTGTGCTGGTGTCACGTGCCTCCTCTTGCTGGCCTGATGTGGCTTTAACCATCGTCACTGTCCCCAAGCCCTGTGAGTCCTGATTCCCCAGGTCCAAGAAGCAGGGAGCTCTTATGCAAGCGGGTATGGAGAAGCGAGCTCCCGGCCTGTAGGAGACAGACAGTAAATCAACACGTAGGAGGGGAAGGAGAAGGATGAGCCCCAAGCCGGAGAAGGGGCGAGAGTGGTCCCTGCACTGTGTGTGGGTGCCGCTCGGGGAGCACCAGGTAGCCTGGCTGAAGCTGGATCTCCTTAGCAATTGAATCAGTTTCTGTGTGTTATCCTTTTGATACTCACATGGAATGAAATCCTCCACTCCTGTACTTTTTTTTTTTTATTTAAAATGGCATTCCCCATCATTTCAGGAGAAAGGAGCCATTGTTAATTACTTTTTTATTAGAATTGCATTTTTTGTGTATTTCCTGATTTTTTCAGTGTCCGGGAGCTGCCTTCTAGCCGTCAGTTGGCTCAGGTTCTCGGAGCCGCGGACAGCCTACCACTGGCACTTTTTCTCACGTACACACACTTGCTAATCCACGTCAGACACGCAGCTGACCCTGCTTGAGTCCATTCCCCAGCTCTGGATGTATTCTGCAGGTTTCTCTGGCTTGACCTTCCCCTGCTGCCAGCCAGGACCTGGGTCTTTGAAGTTAGGAACAGTTGAGGGCACAGGAAATGAAGAGGGTGTGTGCAGCAGGTGGCTGGGCCCGCCACCTGCATGCTGAGGAGGAGGGTCTGCTGGCCGTGTGGGCGCCGGCAGGTGCAGGCCCCAAGCAGAGCGCCCGGGTCTGTGGGGTCAGCAGACAGCGGACAGGAGACAGTGGCCACCTGCTGCGCTTCTTCTGCCTTCCGCCTCCACCCGGCGTCCTGTCCTCTAATCCTGAGACAGGCTGCCACGCAGGAGACTTGGCCACGGGCTTGACCCATCATGTCCTGGGCAGCCTTCACAGCCCCTCAGAGCTTTGAGAGAAAGGCGGGGGGCTTCCAATTCCTGAGATGTGGCCACTGCTTCTGCAAAGCTCCAGAAAGCCAGTCCTCCCCATGCTGTGCTCGTGGTGCCGTCCCAGTGTGGTTCAGCAAGGAGGCGAGGTGATTGCAGCACTGCAGGTTCTGGGAAGGGGGTCTGGGAGTGCCCCTCCTTGATGTCGGCCCTGCAGCTTCACACCCGGCCTCTGGGCCCCAGCTGCTGTCCGCAGGAAAACAATCTGGTGAGGTTTGGGCAACATCAATCTCAAGGTCCCAGGAAACCGTGTATGTGTGTATGTATATATATATATATATATTTTTTTTTTTTTTTAACACCTGTCTAATTTCCCTCCTCCTTCCTGTGCGTAACGCTTCCTCACAGAACCTGAGCTGGCTGGAAGAGAAGGAGAAGGAGGTGGTCAGTGCCCTGCGCTACTTTAAGACCATTGTGGACAAAATGGCCATTGACAAGAAAGTCCTGGAGATGCTTCCGGGCTCGGCCAGCAAGGTGCTGGAGGCCATCTTACCCTTGGTGCAGAGTGACCCCCGCATTCAGCACAGGTGAGTCGCAGGGCAGCAGAGGACCCCGGCGCGTCTTGGCGTGGGCGCCCTTGAGACACATTGGGGGTAACTCTACAGCTACCCCAAGTCTTGATGCCATCCTAAGGCCAAGGTCGTTGTCACTCCTCACTCCCAAACCTGACTGAGGTGAAGCTTTCACGTCCCCAGGGATGGAGCCACGGTGTGATCTGTGGTCCCTTCTCTGATTCGGGCACATTTCTGCCAGGCCCCTGGTCATCCAACGCAGAAGTACTGTTTATTGTGACATCCCGGCTTGTCAAGATCTAGCTTACCAGGGCTCTCAGTCCCGATGATGAGCTGAAAAGAAATAGGAAAGACCCCTGCTGGAGGGCGGCCGGTGAGAGCAGGACCTTCACGATGGTGGGGTTTGTCCCCGGGAGCCTCTGCCGGATAATGCTTTTAGTGGTGGAATATATTTTTCTCTTAAAAGTTAAGGCGCAGGCCTGTCCCTGTATCAAGTATGAGAGAAAAACAGCCTTAAATTTACCTGGAGCAAAAGCCTCTGGAAGGACTGGCAGGTGCCTTGTTTTTCCACCACGGTTCCTCTTCAGAAGTGCACCTGTTTCGATTCCCTGAGATAGCAGGGCCTTTGTTCAGCAGCTTGCGGCTAAGCTTTCGCCAATGGCCTTCAGGACTTGGCAGTGAAGTTCATGTTTGCCTTCCAGGAGGTCAAGCCAACTGTGTCTTTTTCGCCACAAGACAAGTCTAGGCTGAGCCTGTGAAATGGTTAGAAGCTCAGCAGCCCCAGGTCGGAGGGCTCAGCAGACTCCTTGGAGCAAACCTGCCCGACGTGCCACAGACATGTGAACTGCTTTGAATTAAATGTTCCCATGAGCCTATTCTGTGCTTGGGAGCAGGAGTCGAACCTGCTCGAGCAAATCGTCCCCACGTGTGACTGCTGATCTTACAACACAGTGGCCTTTGGGGAGGGCAGGAAGGTGGCAGCGCCAGGGCACCGACAAGAGGGGCTGATGGGAGAAGAGCTCAGATCCCACACACCCATGCTTAGTCTGTCTGGGAGAGTCGTGGCTAGAGCCAGTTCAGCTGACTCCCGTGGCCAGCAGCACACCGCCACAAAGCTGCTGCTTGCCAGTCGGCCAGCAGTGCTGCCTGCGTAGCTGCAGGCTCTGGGCAGGCTCTGAGCAAGCCGCAGGGTAACAGTGGGCAGGAGGTACTTAGAGTTGACAGAACCATTTCCTGGAGGGGAAAAACAGAAGTACCTGGAGTAGCCATGAGGAACAAATGTTTTTGTCAGGTACTCCTCTGGCTAGTATTGTTTGAAGGAATTTCCTTCTGAAGTCCTGTCAGCACGGCGGTGCTGCTTTGCCGGTGTCCCTGGAGTGAGTGGAACTCTGGAATCCTTCCTCTGATATTTCTGTTAGCTTCCATCCGCTGTCTGCATCCTCCATGCAGCATTGGCACCGGAAGGGCGCTCCTGGCCCGCTCCCCGGTGGCCTCAGCCAGCAGTCTGCAGGATCTTCACGCAGGTGGCAGGCCTGAGCCCAGAAAAGAGGCTTCGACAGGGCCAGACACAGCTCTGTGTGCGGGGACCCCATCCCCTGCTTCCTCAATGCCTCAACCCCAGGAGGCTCCCCGACCCCGCCTGGGAGAACGCCTTACGGGGCCCGGATTTTGTAATTGTAATTGTAATCATGCCTTACAATACTATATAGTTTCCTAACAGTTTTATCTTTGGCTTCTGTCCGCCTCTTCCTCCCCGCCCCCACCCCGCCGCCTAAGTGGATGAAGGGGCAGCAGATAGATTTTCTACATTTTTGTGTTTCCCCTGTTACAAAACATAATGCTTGAAATTGAAAACTGATCCTTTTTGGAATTCTTAGGAAAATGTATTCTTCATTGATTAAAAAGTGTGGCAGGAACAGCCATGCTTCCTTTCAGCGCCCGCCTGCTTGGTGGCCGAGGCAGCCCAAGCACTTGGCTTTGGTGGGTGTGTGCCGGTGTCCCAGCGCCCTTAGAAGCGGACACCTCACCTGTCCTTCCCCCACCCCTGCTGTCATAGGCAGCCCGCCTGTGGCGGCTTATCACAGCATCTCCCTGAGGCCCTGGCTGTGGTTCCAGTGCGGAGGGTGGTGAGGCCAAGCCCCTGCTAAGAGCAGCTCTCACAAGCTGTGATCTGTTTTGAGCTCGTGACCATCCCCACGAAGGATCTTGCCTATGAAAATGCCTCAACCCCATTGGTTGTCTGGGAGACATCAAAAAATGAGTTTTAGTCTGATTCAAAAGAAGAAATGCGTAACCCTTGACCCAGTCCGGTGACTCGCCCATTGGAGGGGAAAACAGGACATTCCTTGGGAGAATTTATCAGAACCTCGTGGGGGGACGTGAAGTTTGGAGAGGCTCGTTAACTGCTGTGATGGAATTTTTACATAAACATTTTTAACAGATCAGCATATAAAGTTTCACAGTATCTTTATTGGACACTTAGGAAGAAAACTTTCATTAAAAAGAGGCATGGTTTTACAGAAATGGGGATTGGAAAACTGCTCCTGTGCTCAGTAGATATCTTTGATTTAATAATAATAATAATAATGGCCCTTCTCTTCCCTCTAGCTCAGCCCTCTCCTCCTGCTACAGCCGAGTGTACCAGAGTCTCGCCAATCTCATCCGCTGGTCTGACCAAGTGATGCTGGAAGGTGTGAATTCAGAAGACAAAGAGATGGTGACGACTGTGAAAGGGGTCATCAAGGCTGTGCTGGACGGAGTGAAGGTACGGGCAGGATTCCTCAGGTCTGGCCAGGGCCTTCAGACAGCCCGCTGGCCACGCTGTGTTACACCCTCGGGCGTCACTCTGCTCGCAGGCGTCTGGAGTGCTTGTCCTGAGAGCCGGAGAGGCTGCCAGAAGCAGTCCGCTCCTCTGAGCGTCGTGTTAGGGCTTCAGCGAGTCTGGCCCCGGCTCAGCTCCGACAGGGCCTGCGCGCCAGCCAGCCAGAACCCAGTGCAGGTGATGCTGTCTGCACTGCTAGCGGGCTCCCAGCATGCCATCGCTCCTTTGTCCTGTGCTGGGAACATCTGAGATCCCTGGCCTGTGTCTTTGCTATCCCAAGAAGTCAGAAACCACAGGCTAGGAAATGACAAGTCGTAGTGAGGGTGGGAAGCCGAGACCACGGAAGGTCTGGGACCAGAGGGTGAGTCCTGGGGGATGAGGAGCACTGAATCGGATGAGGCCCCGGCGTCAGGGCTCGGGCTGTGGGCCGCAGGAGGGCACATCATGCCTTGGGTAATGAGAATCAGCCTGGAGACCTGGTAGCGTTAGAGTCCCAAGTTCCCCATTTACTAGTTTCTGAACTCCAACAATTATCCCAGCTGCTCTGTACGCTAGGTGGGACGTCAGCAGCGTGCAGGGCTGAAGGACAGAGGCGTGGCTGGCCCAGTGCCTGCACACCCTGAGCTCCTGGGCCCCGGCACCCCTGTCTGTGACTAAGTCTACAGACCCTGAAGCGCTCGCCCCAGTCAACACTCCTTCCCCTGAAGTGGGCTCTCGGATTCCTAAAGCCTACTCACACGCTGGAGAGAACAAGGACTCCAAAGGGTCTAAATGAGAGAAGACTGAGCAAGCATTGCTTAGCATTACAGCATGTTCTGGAATGAACACTCTTGGGCCTCCCACACCCACAGCAGTGCAGTAGGAACGGATGTCCCTGCTCGGGATGCACATCGTTCAGAGGGCGTCTGAGTGGATGACATCATCCTCCGGTAGCTCCCGTGTGCTCATCATTCCAGAACCTCACTCGGTCCAACAGGCCCAGCTTTGGCCAGTGAGACGTAAGGGCGTCACACGTGGCCGCCCATTCCATGCTCTGGGCAGCTCCCTGTGGTCAGGAGGGCAGAGCAGCACCTGTTCACCCTCCATCAACAGTCATATGGTTCTGCCTCCCCCGCTCGGGCTGTTCCTGTCTGGACTGATGGAAATTACTGAAAATGAATTTTCAGGTGACATTGCTAAGGTTTCTGCCTACCAAATTGATTCCTGTGAGATATTTAAGACGAATTGGAACAGCCAGAGCAGAGGAGATGGACTTTCTGTGCGCAAAGCTCTGATAGTCCCAAGCAGGTTTCCTCTGCGTGTTCCGCACATCGAGCAGGGGACGTGCATGCCTGGCAGAAAATTGCTTCTTGTTTTTCAAAGTGATGGGGAGGTGTGGGAGGAGAGAGAGAAAAAGAATGAAACTATTTAAACCCAAAACTATTTGAGCCAGAACGAAGATGCTCTCGATAAGGAAGTCTGCTTGCATTTATTCATGAAGCATTTAACGAGACCCTTCTATGGGCCAGGGGTTGTGTTAGGTGGAGGCATTTGTTGGTGGGCAAGGCCAGCACTGGCCGGAGCCTTTTGGAGCCTGCACGAAGGCCTCCGAGACCAGCAGCACACGGCAAAGTGCTGCAGAGGAGAGCTGGAGCGTGGTGTCCCCAGCCTGTAGGGACGGCCGGCCTTCTCAGGGCCGTCAGACACGTGCCCCAGGAGCCCGGCCAGTGCCTGAGGGGAGGCCAGCAGGCGGACTGTGGCCACCGGAAGCCAAGGAGGTGCAGACCTCATGTGGTTTTCATATGTCAGCCCTACTTGATGGTCTTGGGACACTGCTCGTACAGCCCTGCAAGGTAGGACAGGTGTGGCAGCTGAGGCCCAGGCAGACAGTCGGTCGACCCAGGAAGATGACGACCTGCCTCCAGGCCTCCCGGGCCCCTCTGCCCTGTGCCCTGGTGTCACCCTCCCCGCCTCCCCCAAAGTCGGAGGTTCTCAGCTCAGCCACGTGGTTCTCTGGCGTCCAGCCCTCTCCTGGTCCCCGTCAGCCCTGGGATACCTTATAAGCCCATGTCCTGGTGAGAGAGAGAGCACGACTTGGCTGGGAGGACAGGGCTGTGCAGGCATGCTGTCATCCACTTGGAGGAGAAGTGTTGGCACGTTCCTTCAGACTGACTCACCGTCTTTCAAGTAACTCATTCAGTGGTTGCAGATTTTTTTCTTTTGAAGGATTAGAAGGGTAGTGTTGTTTAAGAACCCCTGTAAGCAGTGTACCTGTGGGCAGGCCACTTTCAAGATGCTGCTGCTGCTGAATGTCTGAGGACACACAAAGTGAGGGTGTGTGTATAAAATACCTGGTCAGGGCTGAGAGTCCAGTTAAGCACAGGGCCGGGAGTGTTTGCGGTGGTAATTTCCAGAACAGCTCGCGCTGGCCAAGCCTAGACAGTGACGATGGCTCTTTCCCAGGTCAGCTCCGCAGTCGGACTGCTCTCCTCGGGGGTCTGGCTCAGGGAGGACGAATTGTCTGAGGGCAGGAGACAGCCTCGCTTTCTCTAGGAGCCACTCCCAGCCCGAGGCCTGGCTGCTGAGGGGTCAGGGATGCCCCAGTTTGACCCTTTGGAGCCGGTGTTCCACGCCCCCACTTGGCGGGTTGGATTTCATTCCTCACACTTGGGGCCGCTTTGCCTCCTTCCGTGCCTCTAGGAGTGCCAAAGCTTGCTTGTCTCCCATATTCATCCAAGCTGCTTTCCCTACACACACACACTCGCTCCCACACTTTCACACACACACTCACACACTCTCACACGCCCACTCACACTCGCACACACTCTCTCACACACACACACACACTCACATACATAGAGCAAGTTTTATCATTAAACAGAAAGCCTGGATCAGGTAAGGCACCCACATTCGCTGTGGCAGTCCCTGGCCTGGTACTTGGATCCGGCCTGTTGCCAATAGAGACCCTGGCAGCCAGCAGGTGATGTGACTTACCAGGAGAGGCAGAGAGGCAGAGCTGCCATCCACCAGGTTACTCCCCGGTGCCCATCGTGGCCAGGACCGAAGCCAGAAGCCAGGGTGGCAGAACCCAATTAATAGAACAATGACTGCTACCGCCCAGGGTTTATGTTAGAAGGTGGGAGTCAGGAGCTAGAACCAGACATCAGGTAATCCAATGTGGGCTGCAGGCATTTTAACCACCCAACTGAACCCTTCTTTTACAGAGAAATCTCTTTTTGCCTCCATGGGAGAACGCCCCAGTAGGGTTGGGCACCTTTGATAGCACTGTGCAGTGTCAGTCCCAGCCACCCCAGCCCACCTCACCTGCTGACTTATGTCTTGTGTACTTCATGGCCAGACAAGGGCATCTGTAGAACTCAGAAAAACTAACGATAGAGGAAGAGCTGTGTCAAGATCCGTAGCCACATGCTTCCCTAGGCTCTGGGACCCACCCCCAGGACATTCACAGAGCCAGACAGGACGTGAGCTGCAGGGTGAGGTCATGGGGTGTTGACTGTGTGCTGCCATGGAAATGCAATGCTCTTGCATGGGAGCCCACAGGCCACCTCCCATGACGTTGTGTCCCTAGGGACTTCATGGCCTACATCTCAGGACACTACCACTGCCTGTAGTCACAACACAGGCTGCTCTTGCCCAGCCAGGACGTGTCCTCTGTCCCAGGCTTGGGGCTGCAGCTCAGCATCAGGGACAAAGTGGCAAGAAGGACAGTGCCGGACTTGTTCTGGAGCACCAGAGGTGTACTGTAACTTGCCCTTTAAGCCCTTCTGTCACTATGATCATTCAGGATTTATAAAACGAGCATAGAAATAAAGCTCACAGATTATTGAAGAAAACTTCTGAATATCATTTTTGGTGTTTGAAAATGTATTTTCAGCATCCTGGTTGCTGGTCAAGTTTACAGTCAGTGCCTATAGACCTAGTCAAAAAGCCCTGGCATCCCTCTCAGAGATGCCACATTTAGTAGGAGATTCTGGGCTCGCACCACCTTGCAAATGGTCACCTGCCAGTGAGATTAGAGTGCAAACACAGTAGCCAGGCATGTGCACATTTTAAGGGCTCTCCCCTGTCTGACAGCCAAAGCAAGTTGAGATGAAAGGCCTCTGTGTGGGCAGGAAGGTGGTGAGTAACCGAGCGACCGCCCCTTTTGCACATCCAGCCTCCCGGCTCAGGCCAGCCAGCCAACAGAGGGAAGGTTGTCTTTGAATCCAGGCAGTTCACTTGCACATGTGTGCCTGTCATTCCGACATTCTTGTGCCATCGTTCATTAGTTGCAATCACAGCTGCCCTTCCAGAAGGATGACAATCTAATTATAACTGTTCATGCATCAACGAAGACTCGGTGAATGTTTGCCTACCCTAGGTGCCTGCAAGCAGACTTGCGTCCTCTAGCCCCATTTGTAAGGCCGAGGAGCCTCAAGTAGGGCTTCCGTGTGCTTGCTTCCAGGGGGAGCTGCCTCTGCTACCTTCCTCGGGGCAGTGGGGTGCGGGGGAGCCCTCCACATGTAACTGCGCCTCCTGATGAGAGAGACCTCATCACACTGTCCTGTCCTGATGGTGACCAGCTGCTGGGTAGCCATTTCTTCAACATGACATTCTAAACTTTTAATTTTTTTTTTTTAATTTGAAAGACACCGAGATTGCCCATCTGCTAATCTCCCTCCCCAAATCCTACAACAAGGCTGGGCCAGACAGGAGCCAGGAGGCCATCCAGGCCTCCCATGTGAGTGGCAGGCACCCAAGCACCCGGGCCATCATCTGCTGTCTTCCAGACCCCTTAACAGGAAGCTGGATCAGAGTCACAGCAGCCTGGGGTTCAGTCCCAGGCACCCCAACGTGGACTTCTGGCATCTTACGTAGCAGCTTCCCCGGTTATGCTGCAACACCTACTTCATGTATATACCTTTCCTTTTAGCAGTGGTTCTGTTTATTTCAGAACGAATGTTTATTTTCAAAATTTTCAAAAATACAAAAAAAAAAAAAGACAGATATTTCATAGCCCAATTTTTTTCCTGTTATGCATACTCTCAATTTGATTTTGTTTCCAAAACATGCAGTATACTTGTATGCCAGCACACTTTCTGTGGCTTTTCCTATGTGTATGTGTGGATAGTGTCTGCTCCACTGTATCACACATTCTTGTTGTGACTTTGCAGTCGCAATATGCTCTATTGTTTGAGTCTGTGGTTATTCGTTTTGGACTATTGAATAGTCTTACCTGTTTTGCATAATGCTGTGATGATCATTTTTTGTGGCTTAAGGTTGTAAAGCCTCTGTTTATTTGAGAGGCATAGAGGCAGAGGAAGATTTTCAGCCTGCTTCTTTACGTCTCATTTCCCACAACAGCCAAGACTGGACTGACCAGAAACTAGAGTCAGAGAACCCAAACCTGGTCTCCTCCAAGAATGGCAGGAGCCCAATTCCATGGAGCCGCACTGCTGCCTCCTGGGGTGCGCGTTGGCAGGAAGCTGGGAGCCGGATCCTAGATCCTGTGTGTGGGCTGCAGGCATGGCAACCACCGAGTGCAGCAGCAGCCCCGTGTGCCTGCTGTTTGGATGCATATCCAAGCCGCTTCTGCTGGGCAGAGTTCTCACAGTGCAGACATTGAAGGTGTTTGTCTTGTACCATTGCCGTCCTTGACCTCCGGCCTGGGCTTCTGTGGGTCCCTCCTAGAATGAATGACCTCTCATTTTCATCTCCGAGTTTCTCTCTTGGGTTGGGCTGCTTGTAGTTTTGAGTCTTGTAAAGAACCCTTGCTCCGGGAAGGGTGTTAATGCTTTGCCGTCCTTGCTGGTGGGCTGCAGGTGTTATCTGTGATTTTGGAGAGACTTTGGGGTTTCCAGCTGGGGAGATGTTGTTGTTATGTGTGAGTCTGGAGAGGTTTTGGGGTTTCCAGCTGGGGAGACATTCTGGTGTTCCCCACTTGCATCCTGCAGCTGCACACCTAGAGGTTCCTGCGGGAAGCCTGAAGCCTCTCCTGAAGCGCTGGTGCAGCCCGTGTGTCTGTCACGTGAATGGGTCATCCCTCCAGGGCACACTCCATGGTGGAGAGGGACGCACATGGGTGGCTGTTCGTGCTGGGAAGAAGATGGACAAGATGGGCAGGCCCTTTAAGACACAAAGCCACTGGGTGGTTGCCAAGGGTTGGGAGGGGGAGGGGTGTACGATGCACACAGGGTGTGTGAGGTGATAAAAAGGCCTGAAATTATGTTGAATATTATAAAGCTATGAATAGACTAAAAGCTGTTAAATTGTACACTTCAAATAAGTCCGTTTTACAGCAGAGAATCGTGTCCATAAAGTTGTGTAAAGAGACAAATGGACACAAAAGTGTACAAATCGAATGATTCCATTTATGCTGATCTCAAAAACCGACAAGAGTAACCCAGGATGAGAGAAGCAATTAAGCAGGGGCCCATGTTGTGGCGCAGGTACCAGTCCGAGTCCAGCTGCCCCGCTCCTGACCCAGCTTCCTGTGACCCAAGTGCTTGTCTCGCACGGGGGAGACTCGGGTGGAGTTCTTGGCTCCTGGTTTCAGCCTGCCCAGGCCTGGCTGTTGTGACCATTTGAGAAGTGAGCCCATAGATAGAATGCTGTCACTCTGCCTTTCAAATAAATGAATAAATCTTAAAAAAAAATGTTGGAGATGAACAGTATTTATTTTTTGAGCATTGCTTATACAGTTAATGTAGTTGTCAAAATTTTTCAAACTGGGGGAAATGCATGCTAACTGGGGGGGAAAACAGGACAGACCCCGGCCTCTTCCATTTGGTTATGATTTGAAAAATGCCTTTTTTTCTATTATAATATTCTAAAATTAGTCCTCTCTTAGGTGTTGTGCTCACAGGTCACCTGGGGCCAGCTTGTACTGGGAAGCCGCCCGGAGCTGCAGACTGGGGCCTTTGGGCATTGTCGTGCACGGAACGTACCGGCTTTAGAGAACTGAAAACGTCATCCTTTCCCCACAAACAGGAAACCTGGTCTCCTGAGGACTTAGCATGTGTGCTAGACTTGGTCATCTTGAGACAGTGGGTTCGCCATTTCCCCTCTCAAGAGGAAGTTCCTTCATGCTTTTGAAACTCAGCGTCGTGCTGCAAAGATATTTCTGGAGGGCGTGGAGCATTTGGGGCAGCTGCGCAGCTGGCTTCGGGCTAGCCATGCTTGCAGTCTCGCTGCAGGAGCAGTGTGCAGGCACACGGGAGCAGCAGCTGACCTTATAGCGAAAGCCCGGTGGGACGTGCTGGACTCACGCTCTTTGTCTCGTGTCGGTGCAGGAGCTGGTCAGGCTGACCGTGGAGAAGCAGGGGCGGCCGTCTCCAACAAGCCCCGTGAAGCCCAGTGCCCCGGCCGGCAAGCCTGATGGGTGAGTGCTGAGCGAGCCCTGGCCGTGGCCGTGTTCCAGGCAGAGCCAGCTTTGGCAGAAGGCAGGAGCCAAGGCCTCATGTTCCTGTCTCGGTGCTGAGCTCTGAACGTGCACTGGTTGGTTTAAAGTCCGAGTGTCTCACACACGCTCTGCAGTGTTGCCTCACCCATCTCAAGTTTGACATCCCACACGGCCAGTCTAAGTACTGTGTGTGTCCCACGTGGGAGACCGGATGAAGCTGCTGGCTTCCCCTGGAGAGTGAATCAGCAGATGAAAGATGGACGAGCCCTTTCTCTGCCTCGTCGTGTGTGTGTGTGTGTGTGTGTGTGTGTGTGTGTGTGTGTCGTGGCGTGTGTCTGAGTGGCACACACCATGACCTTTCTGAGCAGCCTCACGAGAGCCTGGATTTCTGGATTTGGCACATTTGACTTGAACACTGTGGAGGCTTTTTTTTTTTTTTATGTATGTATTGACTTGAAAGCCAGAAGTCTTCCATCTGTGGGTTTGCTCACCCAATCACAGCAGCCAGGGCTAGATCAGGCTGAAGCTAGGAGCCCGGAGCTGCATCTGGGGCTCCCCAACGGGTTGCAAGGGCCCAAGTACTCTGGCTGTGTTCCGCTGTCTTCCATGGCACATTGCCAGGGAGCTAGACCGTAGGCAGAGCACTTGGGACTTTTGTGCGAGATGCCAGCGTGGCATGCTGCGGCTTAGCTCACTGTGCCCAGTGCTGGCCCCACTTTGATCCTTTTTTCTAAAAGGCTGTTTATTTATCTGAAAGACAGAATTAGAGCCCGGCATGATGGCCTAGTGGATCCTGTATGGGCACCAGTTCTAATCCCAACAGCTCCACTTCCCATCCAGCCTCCCTGCTTGTGACCTGGGAAAGCAGCAAGTAAAATCTTTAAAAAAAAAAAAAAAAAGAATTAAAGAGAGAGACAGACAGATTTTCTATCAGCTGGTTCGCTCCCAAAATGGCAGCAACAGCAGGAGCTGAGCCAGTCGAAAGCCAGGAGCCAGGATCTCCCATGTGGATGGAAGGGCCCAGGCATTGGGTCATCTCCCACTGCTTTCCTGGCGAATTAGCAGGGTGCCAAGTCAGAAATGGAACAGCCAGGATTTGAACCTTTACCCAAATGCAGCTGCTGGCAGTGCCGGAGCCAGTGGCTTTGCCCTTCACACTCAGTGCTGGCCTTCACATCTGCTCTCATGTTTATTTTTATCAAGAGCGTAAAGCTGGGGCAACATGGAACATTTTAAAGCCTTGCATCATTTCTGCTACAAATCCTTGGTAAAAATATGGAATGCTAATTTGGAGCGTTTGGGGGGACTTTAAATCATCCAGGGTAAGAATTCCTCTTCCAGGGCCCAGTGCCATCACTCAGTTGACTAATCCTCCCCCTACAAGCACTAGGATCTCTTATGGGCACTGGTTCATGTCTCAGCTGCTCCAGTTTCCCTCCAGCTCCCTGCTTATGGCCTGGGAAAGCAGTAGAGAATGGCCCAAATCCATTGGGCCCTGCACCCACATGGGAGACCTGGAAGAGGCTCCTGGCTCCTGGCTTCAGATTGGCTCAGTACAGCTGTTGAGGCCACTTGGGGAGTGAGCCAGTGGATAGAAGATCTTTCTGTCTCTTTCTCTGTGGATATCTGCCTTTCCAATGAAGATGAATAAATCTTTTAAAAGAATTGCTTTTCAGACAAGGAGCTGTAGCAGAGACTGGAGACTGCTAAGCTCCTGTGCTTGGCAATGACAGACCTGTGAGACTGGGGGCCTGCACTGTGGCCCTGAAGCCTCATAGCCAAGTGCTGGTTTGAGTCTCAGCTGCTCCGCTTCTGCTCCAGCTCCCTGCTGATGCACCTGGGAAAGCAACAAAAAGTGGTCCAAGTGCTTGGGTCCCTGCTGACCCTGTGGGAGATGGGCTCCTGGCTCTGGCCTGGACCAGCTCCAATCATCGTAGCAATTTAAAAAGTGAACCATCAAATGAAAGATATAGATATGCATATCTTTTGCTCTGCCTCACAGAAACGGCAGCAACAATAAATTCAAAAAATTTTTAAAAAGACGTGAAATCCCTCCGCCAGGCTCCCATGCTTGCCCCGCACAGCTCCCTTGCCTGATGCAGTTCTCGCTGTCCGAGAAGCTGCATGCTCTGCTCCTCTCCGACCCCCGTAACGCCGAGTCCTCTCCCCTTCTGCAGCCAAGCCGAGCTGCCCCTGACGGACCGAGAACTGGAGATTCTCAACAAGACGAGTGGGGGGCCGCAGTCAGCTGAGCTGCTCCCAGACTCCATGGACGAAGAGGCCGCGCCCCCCAAGCCCCCCTTACCGGGCATTCGGGTGGTTGACAGGTAAGTCTTCCTTCGTGGCTAGCACCCTCGGGGGTGACCTAACGTGAGGGACGACGGATGGAGTGGGCAGAACTGTCTCCGGCTGCCTGCCTCTCAGGAGAGGATTTCTGAGGGCGCCCTGAGCCTGGCGCGAGCCCCTGCCACGCGCTCCTGGCACCTGTGATGGATCAGGAGAAGGGAGGGTGGTGCGACTTGCCCTTCCAATATTCAGGCTTTGCTTCAGTGGGAGACGCGGAGGGTTGGGCTGAGAGCCCGAGCCCCCCAACCCGCTGGCGGCTGAGCGCTCTGGTCCGCCTCCTGGGCTTCACCTGGGCCTGTCTGTTTCAGTCCACCAGCACTGCCTCCCAAGAAAAGACAGTCGGCTCCCTCCCCAACCCGCGTGGCCGTGGTCGCCCCCATGAGTCGAGCTACCAGCGGCTCCAGTTTGCCTGTTGGAATCAATAGGCAGGTAATTCAACCCAGTTCCCCATGGGAGAGGCCCCGTGGGTGTGGGATCAGAAGTTTGTCTCCTAAAGCTGAAAGAAACACAGTGTTTTGGAGATCTTCAGGAAGAGGGAGATGGCATCTCCCTCGGCGTTCTCTCTGATGTGCTGGGGATCCCTGTGGAGCAGGTCCAGGGCCTCCCCAGCCGCACCCTCCTGCCAGCCTGCTCTCCAACACAGCAGCGCCCCGAGCCCGCTGGCCCTCGGGGATGACCTCGTTCCCGGTCCCTGACAGGCTGGTTTTGCTTTTCCCACATAAGGATTTCGACGTTGACTGTTACGCACAGAGGCGGCTCTCCGGAGGCAGCCACTCCTACGGGGGCGAGTCGCCCCGCCTCTCCCCCTGCAGCAGCATGGGCAAGCTCAGCAAGTCGGATGAGCAGCTCTCGTCTCTGGACAGGGACAGCGGCCAGTGCTCCCGGAACACAAGCTGTGAAACACTAGGTGGGTGCGGGGGTGGGGAGAGCAGCATCCGCCGCTCAGGTGGGATGACAGGAAACCACACCGTGCGATGCTCAGCGTCTGTGTGTCCTGGACTCTGCCAGGACCAAGAGCTGTCTGCGCACAGAGCTGGGTCGGGGCTGGGAGTGTGCCCTGGGGCCACACAGAGCTGCAGAAAGGGCATTCAACTGCGCATGTCAAGTGAGAAATTGAGCCAGTCTCACTTCCAGTGCTGCGTCCTAAGAGCCCAATGAGCTTTCTGTCTGCAGGACTGGGAGGGCCCTTAAACGGCAAGCACCGGAATTAGCATGGCAGGGATCAGACAAGCTGTGATACACTGCTTTGGGGAGGATAATCCCAGTGCTACTAAAAATCACAACATGTTGACAACTAGGAAGAAAACCCAAGACCATTGACATGGTACTTACTCATTTGGGTTTCAGAATGAGAGGAGGTTAGATCTGGGGTGAGGGAGTTATGGAATAGAATAGAAGGATTACAGGATTGTGGGTAATTTTTATTTTCTTGATGAAGTTTGCCGTCTTCCTGTTGTAGCCCTGTGTTCTTATGGGAGATGTTTTTGTTGTTCAGGGGTTTTGTTTTGGTTTGTGTTTTCTTTGCTTTTTGTTTTGTGTTGTTGTTGTTTTTAAGGATTTATTTTTCTTGGAAAGGCAGATACACAGAGAGAACTATATAGAACGAAAAAGATCTTCCATCCGCTGGTTCACTCCCCAAGTAGCCACAATGGCCAGAGCTGAGCTGATCCAAAGCCAGGAGCCAGGAGACTCCTCTGGGTCTCCCACTTGGGTACAGGGTCCCAAGGCTTTGGGCCATGCTCAACTGCTTTCCCAGGCCACAGGCAGAGAGCTGGATGGAAAGCAGGGCAGCCAGGACACAAACTGGTGCCCATATGGGATCCCAGCACATGTAAGGCAAGGATTTAGCTACCAGGCTACCATGCTGGGCTCTTTTATTTAATTTTTATTTTATTTGAACAGTAGGGAGAGACAGAGACAGATGTTCTATCCATTGGTTCTCTCCCCACGTGCCAACATCCGCTGCGAGCCAGGCCAGGAGCTCAGGATCCTGTGCAGGTCTCCCACGTGGGTGGCAGGGCCCAAGCTGTCCCGTGCTACCTGCCGGCACATACAGTGTCAGAAAACTGGAATCTAAAGTGGAGCCGGGACGCAAGCAGTGAGCTGGAGGGGAAGTGGAGCTGCCGGGATTAGAACTGGCGTCCATATGGGATCCCGGGCGTTCAAGTGAGGACTTTAGCCGCTGAGGCCACGCCGCCGGGCCTCCGCTATTTTCTTAAATTAGAAATAAGAAAGGAAGGTTCAATGAGTACTACAGCATTCAGCTGTGTCCCCATCGGTTTTACTTGTTAAGCAGACAGAACAAAGATTCTCAGAGAAAGTGGGAGCCCGTGTGGATGAGCTGGAGCTGCCTGTCCACGCCCGTGCCGTGCGGGCGGGCGCCCTGCCGTCTGCGGGGCCTTGTGCTGACGCGTGCTTCTCCCGTGTGGCTGCAGATCATTACGACCCTGACTACGAATTCCTCCAGCAAGACCTCTCGAACGCAGACCAGATACCTCAGCAAGCGGCCTGTCACCTTAGCCCGCTGCCGGAGTCCCTGGGGGAGTCGGGACCTTCGTTTCTTGGCCGTCCTTTCCAGCTGTCGCTCAGCAGCTGTCCCCAGACTGAGGGCCAGCAGACGGACACGCCGCCCGCTCTGCCCGAGAAGAAGCGGCGGAGCGCGTCCTCGCAGACCACGGACAGCTCGGGCTGCAGGGTGTCCTATGAGCGGCACCCCTCGCAGTATGACAACCTCTCGGAGGACGACCTGCAGAACCCGGCCGCTGGCCAGCCCGCCCCCTACACGCCCTTCGCTGCTATCCTCCCCTTCGCGCAAGGGGCTCCCTCGGCTCCTGTTGAATTTGTGGGTGATTTCACTGCTCCCGAATCTACGAGTGACCCAGAGAAGCCACCGCCTCTACCAGAGAAGAAAAACAAACACAGTAAGCCTTTGTGGGGCTGCCGCAGCCGGTGTGCGTGTGACCCGACGTGGTGGGCGCTGGCCGTGAGCCTTGGCCGGAAGCCAAGTCGGTGGCCTCATTGTTTCAGAGCAGGCAGCACCACAGCTGTGTGGACCGCAGGGGAACCCTGCCTTCACGGAACTCAAGGGCATCTCCCTTCATGTGGCAGTTGCTTGGCCTGCTGGTCTGCACACACATGGCCGCGAGGGCATGCGTGTGGGAGAGGACAGGCCAGCCCCGCAGTGTCACCTGTGGGAACGGGGTTAGGGGGCATCTGCATGGACACAGTCTGCTGAGCCCTAGCCAGTTGTCCATTGTCCAGGTCTGAGCCCGGGCACAGTGCCCTCACAGGCTGACTCCTGGCAGGAGGCATGAGGCCATGGGAAGGGTCTTTGGATCAGGTTTGGGGGCAGAGCTGAGGTTCTGGGTATTCTGTTTGAATCATCTTTGGCCTGTACCATGGCCATCTAACTGCTTGGTAGAATCCTTCAGGGCACTCCCCGCCTGCCGCACGTGGCAGAGCTGCCAGCTGACAGAACAGCATCCCACTGGGATACTTGTGTGATCGCATCTGTCCCACAGCCCATCAGCCCCTGGCCCCAGTGAGGCGTCCAGCAGAGAGCCCATGCGAGCTAGACGCTGAGTTTGTCCCAAGTCCCGCCTGAAGCATTTCCCAACCCAGCTGGAGCCAGCCCTGCCTTTGAGCAGGGAAGAGCCGGCTTGGTTGAACCTGGCAGGACCATCCCGGAGGCCAGCGGGGTAGTCCAGGGGTGGCACCTCCTTGGAGAGCTGGGCCTGCAGTGAAGGGGGGGTCACCTCTGCGGGACTAATTCTGTCATCCCCATCTGGCTTGGTGACTAGCTCATTAGAAACCAGGGTCGCCCGCATGGCCACGCCTCTCTGTGCCAGCAGGGCAGGATGGCAGGACGTCAGCAGCTACTCCACCCAGGCCTGTGGGAGAGGCCAGGGAGGAGGACCCTCATTGCTTGTGACCAGTCCCAACTCTCAGGCAGCTGAAAATATTTCTCTGCTCATTGAGGCCTCCATCGGAGTCACCCCCATCAGGGTCTGCAGCCCTTGTGCTCATCAGCTTTAACACTAGGCTGAGCTGCAGGTGTGACACACCCTGTCATGGTCCTCACAGCCCCTAGGCAGCGCCCAGTTACAGCTGCAAAAACCAGGGCTCCTGGCAACTGGCGGCGCTGGGGCTGCCAGCCCGAGGCAATGCTGTGTGGGCTTCTGCCGGCAGAGCAGGGGCAGTGGGCTCTCCCTTGAGGCCCCTTCTGGTTTCTGGTGGTGCTGCATGTGCAGGGTTGAGGCCCAGTCCAGAGCCCACGGGTGCCTCTGTGGAAGGTCCCTGGGGGAGTTCCAGAGTGTGTTGACCCCAAAATTGCACTGAGCGAAAGAACAGGATGATCAGCATCCCCTCCATTTGGCTGATGCTGGACAGTCTGTCCACGCTGTGTCGTGACGTCACGCGCGTCCTTGCCTTCGGGTGGCCTCCTGTCACCAGGTTCTCTGGCTCCAGGAACTTCCTGTGCTACTTGAGATTCCTGATGAGTGTCTGTCTCCCCACCCTGCCTCAGCGTCCCCACCACCCGGGGCCCACCGGAGCCTTCCTAGCCTCTGGCCCCAGAGCTGCCTCTGCTGCTCACTTTGGCAGCACTCCATCCGAGCTGCTGGAAGCCCGGTGATGAGCCCCTCCCCCCACCCAGGGCTTCACCCTCAGGAGCTCATGGCACCTGAAGGTCACGGGGTGACTGACATGCCAGGTTGTGCTGGGCCCAGACGTTCCTTTGGAACTTGGTCAGTGGGGACAGCCGGTGGCACTTGGCTCAGTAGCAGCAGCGGCCAGTCTTAGTGGGGAAAGCGTCTTTCTGCCTGCGCGCTCTGGCCAAGTTCCACTCGGTGCTGGGCCTAACCAGAACTTCTTATTCTTTAAATAAAGAAGGTGTAGAGAGGGACATCAGAAAGCTGTAGCGGAGAGAGCACATTCCTGCATTCCTGGCCCAGACATGGGGTGCGGGGAAGCAGCTGCCTCAGTGTCACATCATTGGCAGCTGTCCCTACTCAGGTGTCAGGGGGACAGGCCGTGTCTTCCTCCTGGCACTGCCCCTGTGTGTACACGGGTCCTCAGGAAGCTGGCTTTGGCGTCAGCTCTTAGACTCGGAAGGTACCTGCTGGGATGAGGTGGGGCCCGGCTCCTCTCCTCTCTAGCAGGTGGCATTCCAGCCCTTGCCCAGGTGAGGGAGGCCCCAGAGGTCTCCACCGCCACGAGGGATGGGCGCAGGCCCTGTCAGAACTGGAGGCCTCTCCTTGCTTCTCCTCCTCCCTGGACAGTCATATCTTTGCAGCCAAGAAGGCCTGGACTTGGTTCCTGTTGTTTCCTGCACATTAAGTGGATGCTTTCCATGACACACCCCACGGTCCTCCTAGCTGAACACATCACAGGGGCACGTGGTGCGATCATCCTGCTGGTATCTCCAGGCACCTGCCATGTGCCAGGCACTGATAATACAGCCCAGATGAGGCCAAATCCTGGAGCCCCTGCCCTGGAGGAGGGCAGTAACCCCCATTGCACACGCCTCCACAGCCTGTCCCCCACCTGCTGGGCTGTCCTCTGGGTGCCCTCGGCGATCCTGGAGCCGTCCGCTCTGCAGTCACTCAGCTCCAGGCACACCCTGGCTACAGCCCCTTGTTCATTGCCCCAGCGTCCCCCCAGCAAGTCGGCCACTGAGGCCTTGGAGGTATGACCCATACAAGCCTGAGCCCACCTCAGGCCTTCGTGTCTCCCATAGGCTGTGCCCTGACTGTCATATGACTCTGGCACCAACCCAAGTCACGACACTGTGTCCCACACCGTCTCTGAGGAGGGTGTGACCCACAAGGCAGAGGACTGTGCTGTCCACTCCCTGGTCAGTGCTAAGGCGTGGACCAGGTGCTGAGCGAACTCTGCGTGAGTTCATGGTGGATGGGGAACGAGTGCCCTCGGAGCCTGCAGGCTGGGTTAGCAAAGGGGCAGAAGAGTGAGAGCCTCGGGAGGCAGGAGGTGCAGGTCCGACTGGCCAGCTCTGCCAAGTCCCACGGCCGGGGCAGCAAACCCCCAAGGGCAGCCAGGAGCCCTGGGGTGCTTTATTTCAACAGTGGAATTTACTTTTTGGAATAGTTTAGGATTCACAGCATGACTGAGTGGAAAGTACAGGAATTTCCCATGGCCTGTGCTCCTCCTTCGGCAGAGCCACCACCCTGTCAGACCTCTGCACGCTCCGGGCCAAGCTGGGCGTCTGCATCATCGCCCGAGGGTCCCCTTTGGGGTCAGGGCCCCCGGAAGGCCTGTCCTCCCCACCCCACACGCGGGCAGCCGGGGGCCGGGGTGCGGGGCAGGATGCGAGGCGCCCTCTGTCCCACAGTGCTGGCCTACATGCAGCTGTTGGAGGACTACTCGGAGCCACAGCCCTCGGTGTTCTACCAGACGCCGCAGAACGAGCACATCTACCAGCAGAAGAACAAGCTGCTCATGGAGGTGTACGGCTTCAGCGACTCCTTCAGCACGGGCAGCGACTCGCTGCAGGAGCTGGCCCCGCCGCCCGCCCTGCCCCCCAAGCAGCGGCAGCTGGTAAGCCCCACCCCACAGCCTTGGCCCTGCCGCTGTGCCAGGGCCTCAAACCTACCAGGCCTAGGGACTGGAAGGGTCCTTTTGGGGTGTGGCCTGTGGCAGGAGTCGGGAGTAGGTGGCGGCCGTTGCGTCTCCATGTGGGCGCTTTGCTTTTGCTCTGTCACCTGACTGGGGGCTCTGGGGCCTTCCCTGGCCAAACAGCATCTGCAGCCAGGACAGGCTTGCCCTCAGTGTCTGCTCTGGCTGCTATATAGACCTCCGTGAAAGGAGGGACTCCATCAAGACACAGGGCATGGTCTGTGGGCACCATCTGCAGACTTGGGCTTCTTCCACAATAGGCCTAAGTGTGTAGAGTGAGCGACGTTGTGGCCCTGGCCAGGGATGTCCCCGAGAGAACAGCTCCACTGAAGCGGGGTGCCTTTAAACAGAACCTCTTTGTGTTTGGGCCAGGACAGCCCTCCCCTCGAAGCTCACCTCCTGTGTGGATGGCTCTGGGTGCGGGCTGGCTCACTCGGTGGTGACACGGGCACTGGCGTGGCCCACGCCTTCACGGCTTTTCCTCTTTGCCTCCCGTTGGCAAAGCTGGTGGGCTTCCCCTCCAAGCATGCTCACCAGAACACGACAGTGGTGTTTTAGAGCTGTACCTGTTCTAGCCTGCTGGCCCGTGTGGTAGCTTGCTAACAAGCAAGGAGCCAGGCCTGGCAGTTGGCAGCTACCACAGAAGCCCCTGTGCCACCTCGCATCTGCCTGGGGCCCCCACAGCCCTGGGCCTGTGCCGTCTCAGGTGCAGCCGGCTTGTGCCGAGCAGGCAGTTATGTCCCCTCCGGGGAAGCAGCCTGTGGGAGACGGGCGCTTGCTACACGCCGGGCCTGCCCCCCCATGCCCTGCCCATTCCTCCAGCTTTGGGGGTGACTGCATTGCTTTGAAAATGTTTCAGAAAGGGATTTTCCTGGAAATGTCAGTTCCTGGCCTAGGGAACCCTAAGCCCAAAGTGTCATTTGGTTAAAACCATCGCTGAGCCAGATTTCATGGAGAGATCTGTCCTTGGCCGCCCACTGGCTGGCCTTGGCCATCTTCTTACCATGGAGTCCAGGAGCCTCTGAGCCTCTGGGAAGCATGTGGGTGCCAGCCTGTAGCAGGCAGGGCAGGGCTGTGATCAGCCCCTTCTCAACGCCTGCCCCCCAGGGCCCACGGGAGCTTCCCTGAGGCTCGGCACGATCTCCCCAGAGCTCCAGCAGCCCCGCGGCAGAGCAGTGCAGCCAAGGCAGGGCACCAGGGCAGGGAGGTGTCGGAGGCAGGGGCTGCTGTGTGCTACATCCCACCCAGAGGGCGGGAGGCATGGCTCCCATCACTCTTATCATGTCTGCCCACCCTCCGTAGGGGTCTGCGCCTCAGGTGGGAACCTGAGGGGCAGAGAGCTTTAAGGCCAAGTAGGAGGTTAGTGTCCGGACTCCAGTGGAGCCAGAGTGGGCACTGGGGTCTGCTCCCCATGGAGGGGAGCTCCGAGTCAGGGGAGCCCAGGCTGCCTCTCCCCCGTGTGCCATGCTTTGCGTGCAGAGTCACCTTTAGAATCTGCCAGAAGGAAGCAAAGGGGAGGGTACCCTGTTGTTCAGAAAGCCTGTGGGATGTGCTTTGGATCTTTGAACTGAGCCACTAGGCCACCCCACCCCCACCCCCCCGCCGAGTCCCTGGAAGGACTGGGCGCAGCCTCTTCTGTCTGCTGACACGTGCCTGACCGCTCTCTGCTTCTCTCCCTCCTCCCTGCCTTCTCTCTCGCCCCTCTGCCCAGCAGGCCTCCTATGCTGCTTCTCCCTTCTCTGTCTCCTACTGTATCCAGCAAACTAAAGTGGCCTTCACCCCCGAGGACAGCAGTGCCACCCAGGGCCTCAGTGTGTCGGTCTCTAACTCCTTTCTCAGCCGGCACGGCAGCTTGCCCGTGCCCTCGGTGAGTTCAAACAAGTGGGCCACTCATCGGCTTGCAGGCTGTGCTTCCCAGACGTGCGCTGCCTGACACGGCCCTGTCCTCATGCAGTGACCTACACATGACAGAAAAGGATACCGACAGTTGGCCCCCTGGGGCCTAAGAAATGTTGGCAGGGCTGCGGTGGGGAATCCAGTGGCCATCCTTGGGACCCTCCGACTCTGGCCTGAGGTGCAGAGATGGCTTGATGTCCTAGCCTTTTAGTTCTGATCCCACATTGGGTCTTGGATGGCTCGCCAAGCGTTCCTGGTCTGCTAAGGAGCAGTCCACACGCCGGACGCATGGCTAAGGAGACCCGGCTTCACCGGGGCACAAGACCCGCTGTTGGAGGACTCTGCCAGTTAGCTGCGGCTATGTGTCAGGTCACCTCCACGCTCAATGACTTGAGACGGTCTTGCTGGGGACACAGGTTGGTAGGGTGGTTGTGCTGCTCTACCTCGGGGTGACTGATGTGGACTGGGCTCCCGGGCACCTCCGGGTCTGATCTGACTGCAGTGCACGCAGATAGATGGTCACCTCCGCTAGGCTAGCCCGGGCGTGTGTGCAGGACAGCTGATGGGCAGGGACACAAGGGGAGCTGGGCAAGCACTGTACAGCCCCCTGGGCTCTCGAGTGGCACAGTGTCCCTCCCACTGCAGCCACTCGGTCACCTTGCCAAGGCCAGCAGGACCGGGGAACAGGGTGGTCAACGGCGACTGCTGGTGGGAGTCATTGCTGAGACACATTGCACAGGGGCACAGCTGCCGGGGGGGGGGGCAGACTGGGGCTGCTGCGGCACAGCCTTCTCACAGAACTGACACCTGCCCCTTGCGGTCTGAGCAAAGGGGACCTCAAATGCTGCTAAGTGCGGGTCTCCCTTGAAAGCAGGGTCACCTGCTGCCTCTGTTGTGCGTAGCAAGGATTGAGTGAAGTCATGAAATGGCTGAGCAGTGCCCGGCCGCCTCCCCTGTGGGCCTTGCCATGCCTTCTTCCCTGGGTGCCCAGAAGGCTGAACTCCCGCATTCCTCGCCGCCCTGCCAGGCTCCTTCCCCAGGCTTGCAGAGCGCCACTCTAGTCCTGGTACTTGTTATTCTTCCCCCACCTCCCCAGGAAGAGGAGCCATGAGACAGACCGCGGGTTTCCAGAGTCCCTTTTCGGGAGTGAGAGGTTCAAAGTTGGGAGAGAACTGGACTGTTTGTCCCAGAACCAAACAAAATGTGAGGGACCCTTGAATTCAGACTGTGCCGTCATTTTCCTGCCGCACGCCGTGTCCTCAGCGCCGTGAGGAGGGGAAGGGACCCCACAGGCACCTCGTTCTGGGAAGGTGCCTCAGAAGCCAGGGGTGGCCCTCTCAGTATTGAAACCCTGGGAAGTGGTCAGTGATAGACCAGCGGACTCTTCAGGTATTCCATGGCTGAATCCCAGTGAGCCCAGACCCGGACCCTTGGGTTAGCCCACCTCTCTCTGTGCTGTTGGCCTGTGCTGTCAGTCCAGCCAGAAGTTGGAAGGCCACTTGACTATAGCAGTTCTCCAGCCTCGTGTTTCTTGTACCGGTGCCCACTGCCCATTACCCTGCTCAAAGACTCGCTCTCAGAACCCTCTTGGCCAGGGCACCCTGTGAGCAGTAATCCTGCGTTGGAGGTTTGAAATGAGGAGACGGTCTCATCCACTCCTCCCAGGATCCCAGGGCAGTGGGATTCAGCAGTGCCAAGGTAGGGGGGGCTGGTGGGAACGTCCACGGCAGGTGGGACAGTAGAACCATCTCGGGCGTGGCTTGTGGGGCTGGAGCAGAGCCCAGTCATCTCCCTTTTCTGAGGGATAAAGGACAGGAAAGCCAGAGAGGTTCCGGGCAGAGGCACCTGCTACGGAGTGGACGCCAGTAAGCTGAGCATCCTCTCTGGAAGGTCAGGCCCAATGTGAGTACCTGGAGTTTGAGGTTATGGGAGAGAGTGCAGCTCTGGACCTCTGCTATGGGAAAACGCAGCACCCCTCGGCCCACACTCCACCCGGTCCCTGAGTCTGTCCCCATTGGCGCAGCCCCTAGGGTTCTGGGCACTAGCAGCCCTCCTCATGGCCTTCAGGCCTGTCTGCAGACTCTAGTGGCAGAAAGATAAACAGACTTCCCCCCCCCCCACCCCCGCACACCTGTGCCATAATCCCAGGCGACTGGAACTGGAGCAAAAATGATTGTCTAGCATGACCTGAAGTTTCAGGAACATTGCCTGCTACGTCACCGCCAGCTGCGGCCGCCACACCCTGGGCTGTCCGTGCTCATGCAGACTGCGCCGCAGCTGGGGTTCCGACCGGGCAGGCACTCCTTCCTCCACGCATGCTATCCACGCGGGCTCCAGGGGCGCCCCCGAGAAGCATGGCGGGCTTCCCACACCAGCCCTGCCCACAGGGCATTCCTGTCACCCCACCACACCATCACCACCACCAGCAGCCTCCCAGCTACAGGCCTTTCCTAGAACTCAGCCGTCGGCCATCACAGAGACCGTGGCCCAGCGGCCAGGCTGAAGGCCAGGCAGCAGGGGAAGGAGAGGAGGAGGAAAGGCTGCCTGGCACAGGCAGGGTCATCCTGTGGGAAGGACCGCCGCATCCCTGACCTCCGTCCCTGTCTCGTCCGGCCGTCATCCTGTCCTCACTGGTTGGAGCTCAGTCACATTGAAGGTCGGTGAAGACCCTGGCGGCCCTAGGGGCCTGTCCCCTGAGGCCTGGCCTTCCAGGGGCACAAGCATGGGGATAGCTGCTGAGGGCCCCAGGCCTGGCATACAGGGTCCTGGGCATAACTGTGCTCCACAGGCTCCAGCAGGAAGGCAGCTCTCTGCCACCCGATACAGGAGGCAAACCACGTCCTTCCGTCCTGTCCTGCCAACCCCTTCTCATCTCCGGCCGTGCCCTCCTGGGAGTGGTTCTTCTATCTGCTCGCTGCCTAAGCAAGAAATAGTGTCATCTCTCCACCCCAGTCCTGCCATGCTGGCCTGCTGACGCTACACGAGTCGCATCCTTGTCTGGGTCTTCCCTCACCAGCACCACCTTA